GTCCCCTGGACACAGCCACCCAGGCTGGGTGGCAGTACCTGAAGGAAATGTAGGAGGGTGTTCAGCTATGCACAGAGATTGACTGTGTCCAAATAAACTCTACATCTCTCAAATTTGCATTCTGGGCTCCAGCGCACAACCTGAATCTTCTTCCCATCTGCCTCCGACCAGGGTTCTCCTGTCTTCAATAAGCCACCTGCATTGACCTGCCTGTTTCTACTGAATGCTTACCTGTCTTCTGAGGAGCTTGTCTCTAATTGGTCCAGATTTTCATCCCTTAAAAGGGCGCTCCCCATGGGGTGTCTACAGAAGAGTGAGGACCCAGGTGTGAGCTTACCTTCCCTAGCAGTGGGCTGGTACTAGCACAAAGTCCTCATGCACAAAGAAACACACTTTTTCTTTTTCCCTGGAGTTGGATCTGAAGGAAGGAGGTGTAGGAATGAAAATGAGACTTGATCTCATGACACACAATGAATTTTCCTAAGAGAAAAATTCTACCTTGTCTTCTATGCTCATGGAGCCCAAGGCTGAAGAAGAGTAAGGAGACTGGGGTAAGCTACAACAGGGAGGGAAGCAGTTGGGAGGGGTGGTTGGATGGTGGGGACTGCTGTAGCCAGCCACATCCAAATAGGTGGTCTCGTGGGTTATCTGGGCAGTGTTCCTGGCTGGCAAAACTTTTTAGTTTGATCAGGTCCCATTTGTTTATTTTTGTTATTGCTGTGATTGCTTTTGGGCTCTTTATGAATTCTTTGCCTAGACTAATGTGTATAAGAGACTTCCTAACATTTTCTTCTAGAGTTCTTACAGTCTCATGTGTTAGGTTTAAGTCTGTTATCCATTGTGAATTAATATTTGTGAGTGGTGTGAAGTGAGGATCCTGTTTCGGTCTTTTACAAATGGCTATCCAGTTTCCCAGCACCTTTTATTGTATAGGGATTCTTTTCCCCAGTGTATGCTTTTGTCTGCATTGTCAAAGCTCATATGGGAATATGAGGATGGTTTCATACCTGGGTTCTTTGTTCTGACCCATGAGTCTGTGTCTCTGGTTTTCTGCCAGTACCATGCTGTTTTAATTACTATAGTCCTGCAGAGTAGCTTGAAGTTGGGTAAAGTGATATCTTCAGATTTTTTCTTATTGCATAAGGTTGCATGGGCTATTTGAGCTTTTTTCTGCTTCTGTATCAAGTGTAGAATTGTTTATTCAAGATCTGCAAAAAATAACTTTGGTATTTTAATGGGAATTGTGTTGAATCTGTAAATCACTTTGGGTGGTAGAGACATTTCAACAATGTTGATTCTGCCAATCCATGAACATGATATGTTTTTCTATCTGCTTACATCCTCTGAAATTTACTCCTTTTAAAGAAACATTAAATAATATGTCAAAACTCAAACTTTCCAATATTTCTTCTTGTAAGTAATGAAAGTCTCAAGTAGGCAGACCTGAGCTCAGTTGCCCTAGCAGGCAGCCTAACGATCCTAGGATCTCTCTAAGGAGGTGACTGAGCAGACGATGGAAGGGTCCTTGTTCAAGGAGGCTGGGAAGAATGGAAATTCTATGATTTCTGAGAAACCCTATAGAGGTCTCTTATCTCAAGTCTGGTGTCTGATGTGATTTTTTATGTGGTGCAGTGACCCAAAACTTTATTTTGGAAGGGTCTTAGTGGTCCTATTTTTATTGGGCTACAGTGGTCTTCCACTGACCTTCTCTAATAGCCGTGGAAATACTAAGAGGTAAGTTGGTGAGTCCCATCTTCC